GGACATTATAAAAATTTTGCAAGTGAAATTAAAAATTTTCTAATGCATAAAAGTATTTTTTTTTATCTTAAAATTAATATTTCTTGCATCATAAATAGGCAACATGCAAAAAGGCATGAGAGAAACATTGCTTTTAAACCTTAAGACTTAATAAAAAAAAATTGATATTTTGTGTATGAAAGCATTGTAATACTTACTGATAATTTGCCCAATTGTGTTAACATTCGCTTACTAATTTAAAAGTTATAGCATGAAAACTATAACGAGCACAAAATGGTTACGAGGTCGGTCCCAGGGACCGACGGTCGTGCTGAAAGAGTTAATGAGATGCCTAATTGTCGAGTGGCTAGGGTGCGACAGACTGTACTGGTAGTTCGACCTCATCCACCACCTGTTAGCATCTGGAATTGTACATCAGTTTTGCTGTAGGCAAAGGATCACCTACCTCTTCACCTCAAAATGGGAATTGGTAGGGAAGACAAGCTTCTGTACCAAAATCTGTCTTCATTTCCAACTCAACCAACACCTGATCCACCACAAACAAACACCCAGTGGATGGTAGGAAGTTGGAAAGCCCTAGTGGGATGACATTTCTGATCCAAAACCAGGCAGCATTGGGTATGTTTCTTCCAGTCTGAGGTAGGACGAGAATTATGACCACACACATGTGGGAATAAATGTGCTGCATTCAGCTACAACCAACCTTAGATCCACCAGGAACTGATGCCCAGTAGATGGTAGGAAGAAGGATCACTGGTAGGAAGCCAGTCCACGGTAGGAGGAGGAATACCGGCCAGAACACGCGAGAACTTACTTAGCTGGACCATCTTCAACCCGCACCGGAGTATGGAGGACTGCATCACTTTAGAAAATACAAAGGGTGACTGCAATACAGTATTTTGAAAAACCTGGCTGCATGTGGAATTTTACATCAAGTCCGCAGTAGCAAGAGTTTTAATCAGAGATGGGCAATCCCTGTCTGCTTTACTCATGATTGTCTACGAGTGTATGGTTTGGGATGAACATATTTATGAAGTAAAAGACCATTAGAGGGAAGCACTAGTAGCCCTATGGAACACCACATTCCTACGGTGTAAATAATCTAATCCTGTGATGTAATTTGCTCAGCATAGATGACAATTGAACAGACATACACAACCAACACCTGGCGGCATCTGGATTTATACATCAGGTGTGCAGTAGGAAGAGCTGCAATGTAATTGATATCAAGCATGGTTACAGGATGGACAGTGTGGATTTTCCAAATAAAAGTATACCTGGTCAGGCACCACCACACATTAGCAAAAAGGACCCTGTAAATAAAGAAATAACAAAAACATAGTACTCACCAGTCATAACGACAATGTGGTGTGTAAGATGGCGAAGTAGGTAAACAAAAACCAGCAACGGCTACATGATTTAAATAATGTGAAACAAAAGCATGAGCTGTAGCCCACATACTAGCTTCAATAATAACCTTCAAAGGAAGATGGAAATGGGCAGCCAAGAACATGTAATGATGAATTTGATATGAAAAATACCCTAGAAAGGCAACACACCTCAGGCAGAAGGGAACAATCCACCAGCTTAATTAATTGGCAAATCTAATTTGTGAGGGTAATGGGAGAGAGGTAACAGGATACAAGAAGATTCCATGAAATAAACATATGGTTATAGGAACCATAGAAGGGAGCAGTGCAAGTGAGATATAATCAGAGATCCTGGATCTGGACACAGGTGGTGGTCAGGTTCCAAATGGTCATAAATGTAAGACAATGAAAAGGGAGAAAAAGTGGAATTACCCTTCCCATCAGCAGAAGTCTTGGGCAAAAACAAACAGTCAGGAACTGTAGAAAAGCACACGGCGAGCATCAATTGCAAAGATCTCAAAATAGCTACTGGCCACAATCCAATAATATGAGTAATAGGGATTTTAAGGAAAAGTGATACAGGGAACATGAAGACAAAGGTTCAAATGGAGGATGAGTGAGAGCGATAAGTACAACATTGGGATTACAATCAGGAACAGACACAGGGTGTGGAGGACGGGAAAGGGAAAACAAACAAAATAACAAAGACAACATAGGAGATTGGAAGACAGATGCAAACTCAGTAAATCTGAAAATGCAAAATAATGCAGCCTGATAGCCGGCAATTGAGGAAACTGAAAGTCGCCTATTGAAGAGTCAAGTGAAAAATGCAGTCAACAGGATGTTATACCTGGCAGAGTGACCAGCAGCATAAAGTATATCATGTATACTAATAAACCACCAAGGAAGAAGGACATACAGAATGGGGAATCAACAAGGCAACATGCCTGGAAAATCTGTATTGTCTGGCAAGGTACTGGGCAAAAGCCATGCATGAAGCCAGAGGGCAGGGGTGGATGGATGATGCATGCCTGATTGAGGTTGATGAAAGAGCATGGGAGATAATGGCAAAGGAAGAGGAGGTGACACCAAAAGTCTGCGCAGGAGCACATGACATGGAATGGTCTGAATCAATAAAAGGACTCAGGGAAAAAGACGAATAGGAGGATATGCATACAGGTGATATTTCTTACAGTTTTGACTGAGAATATCTACAGCTTCTGCCAAAAGTTGAGGAACAGGAAACTGAAAACAAGGAAGTTGTGCATTGAGATGTGTGGCAAAAGCATCCACATTCGGAAAACCCCAACGAGCACACAACTACCAAAACACCTGCAGATCTAACGACTACTCTGTCGGGAGAATCTTGTCTGGCCAAGATCATCAGTCCACAACCAGATTCAGGGCACCTGGAATATGACATGCTAACAATCTGATGTGATGATTGTGGGCCCAGTAGAGGAGATACAACGTTCAGAAACAAAACTCTTGTGCCTGGGTATCCCCTTGCCTGGCGATATAAGACACTACTGTGGAATTGTTGAAGTGGACCATCACCAAATGCCCCCAAACATCCAACAAGAAGTGAAGCAGAGCACAAAGAACTGCCAGCAACTCTGAGATGTTGATATGTAGGGGTATGTGCCTGGGTATCCCCTTGCCTGGCGATATAAGACACTACTGTGGAATTGTTGAAGTGGACCATCACCAAATGCCCCCAAACATCCAACAAGAAGTGAAGCAGAGCACAAAGAACTACCAGCAACTCTGAGATGTTGATATGTAGGGACGATTCAGCCAGTGTCCAATGACCCAAATGCTCTTGAGCATTGAAATATGCATTCCAGCCTGAAAGGGAAGCATCTATAAAAAGATGACTATTCGATTGTGAAAGTGGAAGAGGAACTCCAATGGTAGTGTTGATACAATCCAACCACCAAACAAAGTCAGCCTGTAGGTGAAGAAGGCAGGGTAATAGGAGCATCTAAGAAATTCTGAATGAATAAGGTTCCATTGGTTAAATAACCATCACTGAAGGTGACTCATATGGGTGCAACCAATGGGAATGAGGGCTTCTAGAGAAGCCCAAATCTCCAAAAGAGATAGGGTCTATTGTGCAGTAGGAGAGGGAGAGGCTGATAGACTGTGAACAAGACATTCCATATCCTGTAAATGAAGAGGAAAAGGCTGGGCCAGACTGATGAAGGAATTGAAAAACATACCCAGATGAATCAGATATTGTGTGGGTGTGAGACACGACTTCTTCACCATGATGAGCCAACCTTGGCAGCCTCTTGAAGAACAAACTAAGTATGAACAACAGATTCGAACTGAGAGGAAGCCAAAAATGGGCAGTTGTTCATGTAATGGTAGAAACGGAGGCCTCTGGCATGAAGCAGTTGAGTGAATGATCTGACTACTCAGCAGAAGGCATATGGAGCTGAAGCCACACCAACTGGTAGAGCCCGAAAGTGATAATCATGCCCCTGATAAACAAAATGAGGAAATGCTGGGATGCCTGGGAGATGGAAATGTGTAGATAAGCATCTGACACACCAACCTTTGTCATCCACAACCCAGGAGTGAAAACCCACCAAAGGGTTAAGTAAGACTCCATTGTTAATTTGGATACAACCAGAAAACAGTTCAGGGATGGTAAATCTATAATTGGTCACCAATCTTCCATCTTTGTGGGTACAACAAACAAATGGAAGCAAATCCTTGGCTGAGAATTTTCCCAAGTTCTATGGCCTCATTCCCAATTAAGTCCCAAAACAACTCCTCTAGATGCTGATGAGAAAACAGGATTCCATGGTGGGGAGGAAGGCAATGGGATGAGAAGACAACAAGGGAGGGGAATGGAAGTGAATGGCCAGACCCCCTAAAAGAAATTCACCAATGCATAAGGGTTTGAACTGCACAATGTAAGGAGAGATTACAAACGTTGGGTATCATGTTAAGGGAAGGAAGATCGATGAAATGATTGAGCATGATCTTCAGATGCACGAGGCAGAGGAGGCACACTAACCTCTGACTGAAGTTGATCCCCAAAATAATGGGCATGAAACCCCAACATTAGGTGAGTGAGGAAACCCTAAATATTGGCCTATAGATTCAGCACCAAAGATGGCAGGTTGAGAAACACAGGAAACAGGAGATAAGGATAAGACAGCACAAACCTGACTAAGTAATTCCACAAATTGTGAAATAGGTCTGGGTAAATCCCCCGACATCACTCGTGAATGGGAAGCATAGTCAGGAGGGGAATAGGCTGACCAAATTCTTGTCCTCTCTGTCAGACATTCCAGGAGCAGGCATGACAGGATATTCTGTGTGTATGGTGGTGAAGGTTGCATGAACATGGACATTTCTCATCTAATAATTGCCATTACATCCTCGGACAAAAATTGAGTACTCAACCTGGTAGTAGTGGCTGAGAAATCTGCAGCAGCAGTAACACCTGTGGTAGTTTTAACTACCTGAAACTGTGAGTGCATAGTAACAATTCCAACTGTGGAGCAAAAAAAAAGTAAGAAAAGTTGGAAAAAGCAACCTTTCACAATTCCCAAATGCAAAAAAGTAAAGACATATTAAAGGATAACTAAGTCTGTAGTATAAAGGAGAATGTCAACAAGTGTGTGAGCAAAAACAAGCATGTCTGAACAGTATTACTGCTAATCAACAAGTGGTTAATGAGTTCAAATTTGGAGAGAGTGCTGGTTACGATAGAGGTTGTGTCAAGATCCTATTGGTAGTGAATTGCTGCATAATCATTTACATGTGGATTTGCAGAAGCAGGAGGTGGAAGGCTAGTGGCGAGCCTTGCAAATTTCTGCAGATAGAGGGAAGTACTAATCAAGAAAAACTATTTTGTGAGTAAAGGTAAGATATCGTACTGGAGTTTAACTTTTGAACAGTAATGGTGTATGGAATTTTGATAAATAAATATATACAAGAAATATTCAAATCATAATGTAATTTTAGAACAATTAATTTGCAATATAAAACTTTATCGTACTTGTAGTAGCGTGAATTTAACAAGTAAATATTTCCTTCAGCAGGATACATTAACAGATAGCATAATAATATTGCATACTTCACAAATTTATAATGTATATGCTGTGTTGATAGTATATATAGTTAAAATTTTCTTCTGGTATCAATGCTTTAACTCTTTCAGCACAGGCTCGGTCCCTGGGACCGACCTCAACCTTTTTGTACTTGTTATAGTTTTCATACTATAACTTTTAAATTAGTAAGTGAATGTTAATGAAATTTGACTGATTATCAGTAAACATTACAATGCTTTTATATGCAAAATATCATTTTTTTGTTATTAAGTCTTAAGGTTTGTAAAACAATGTTTCTCTCATGTCTTTTTTTTTCTTTTCGCACATTGCCTATCTATCATGCAAAGTAATATTCATTTTAAGATAAAAAATACTATTATGCATCATAAAATGTTTAAATTTCACATGCAAAATTTTTATAATGTCCAGATAGTTATCAAACGTTTCTTAGGGAAAAAACTTTATATTTTATCCGTTGTTTTCAGTAATTAATCTCTGTATGGGTTCAGTAGATTTGACCAATCTCACAACCACCATAACAAAAATTAGGAAATAAATATAAGTTATTCCTCTTTCATTTTAGAATGAACACAAATTATAACACAAAAACATAAATGTTTATACTAAATAGCTTAAATCTCATAACATTATATATTCATATATATTTATTACTTTATTATATTGACTTTTCAGCCATGCTTAGCTAACAATACAGAAGTTACAATGATGAGGCTCACGTGCATTCATAATACTGACCTTTGGTCTGTACAAAGTAACTTGTCTTGGCTGTGTTTTAGTAGACTAGTATTTTGTAAAATACAGTCAAATTTCAATTATTATACATTATACATGTATATAGATTATTGCTATTTTGATACCAGTTCATAAACTTATTCATCTTAAAACATAGAACAGTAACTAAAGAAGTAAAGCAAACAATTATCTCTTCTAGTTATGACCTTTGTATTTGGTTGCTAAGTCTTTAAAAAAATTGCACATGGAGATTATGAAACAAAATATTTTTTTTAATTACTACATTAATACCATAGAATTCCATTATAATTTATCAAGCTTAGTAACTAAGATGTATTTTACTCTAAAAAAATATGAAATTTTGAGCAGACTAAAGACACGCCCTACCTTGTAGAAATATTGGTTCAAAAGAAAGAAATCGTGCCAAGTCCATTAAAATGGCTGAGAAAGCCACTAGGGGACATTCTGAGCTTCTGTTTGGTTATTCATGTCATATATAAAAGTAAGTGTATATAAGGGAGCATTTCCAAAAATGGAAAGAGGTGGGCAGGGTGCCACTGTATTTGATTTATTACATGAGCAATATCTTAGCAAATTGAAAAGATAAGACCTTCTTATTTTATATTCTAGCTTGTCAATGTCAGTAATTTGAGTTTCTAAATCATTCGAAACTATAAACTTAGTATTTTGACTTCACAAACATCTAATTTGAACCAGTGCTACATTCAACATACCATGTGACACACAAAAATCAATGTTTATCTGTTTTCTTAATATTAGCTTTTAAAGTAAGAAATTGATTAATATATAGTACTAAAATTTGGATTATAATCT